AGCTACCATTTGAACAAAAAGGTATGTACAAATAAATAAAAATAAATTTAACAACATCGAACTGAAGAGATATGCTTACTGTAACGTTCATTAATTCTTTACAGAATGATGAAGTGCACTACTGGTCTTGCGTGAAAAAAAAAACGGGCCAAGCAACAGGAAAACCGTTGCTACGCGACCATTATCACGCATCTTGCAAATGGGTGCCATGTGACTGAAGCACCATCAGTCCATAATCACCTGCCAAGTCCAAAAACACAGTCTAAACAACTTCGTAAGGACCTGAAACGAAGATCGGAGTTTCACCATGAGACAACATCTAGCACGGTTCGAGAATGCGCAAAATACGTGGCTAGTGAGGTAATGCATTGTTTGTTTTATTAATACTTTGCATTGAATTGAAAAAGACCATGTATTGCAGTTGCAAACAACGATTTCCAAGGCAGAACAGAGAAAGATCTGCCAACGCGCTCGGCCACCCAAAAACTATACTGCTGAGCCGAGATCTTGACTATTGCAATTTAATTTATGTGTTTATAAAACGGATCGATCTGAGGATTTAGTAGTTAGTGTCTTCTTGTGTTCTCTCAAGTTGTTAGGTCCCCATCGGTGTACCTCCATGTTCGTCTTTTTCTCCAATATGTCGCTTAGTTCTAGATTAAGAGCACATTGCTCGAAAAAACCTCCATTTGTTACAATTTGTTACCCCTAACCTCGAGATAGCCGCGAGTAATCGGCCCCCGCTTTACTAACGTTAGTTTTAAGTAATTTTGTAACCCAAACGATGAATATCGGCTCCGCAAAGCAACGGCAAATGAGCCTGGATAAATAAACGCATTAAAAAAAAAAAACAGTGCATGCGCATGGAGGAGATATTTTTTTAGTGTTCACCACCGACGACAACATTCGGCGACTGTCCACCGCCGAAATTTGGATGTTGGATGGAACGTTTACTGCTGCTCCTCCAGGGTTTAAGCAAATCTATTCAACCATGGGATCCGTGGGTTCTGGCGATGCGTTGAGGTATTTGCTTTTTGTTTTCATGTTGCTCCCGAACAAACTTGAGGAAATATACACGCGTGCTATGATGGAGGAGGTGGTAAGGCATTGGCGTTGAGCTAGACCCAGAAGTGGCGCTTACCGGCTTCGAGCGAGCTGCTTTAGGGTCGATTTTCCCTGATTGTTGGCGTCAGGGATGTTTTTTTTTTCAGCTGACACATTTTTTCTAAAGAGTACAAAGCAGTGGACTCTCAGGGTCAAAAACATTTCCATGACCTTTAAGAAAATTGAAACAATCGCATTTGTCTCTATAGAGCAATTAGAGAAAGCGTTCATGATCATTCCTTGCGTCCTTTCGACCTTTCGTCCTTCGGAACTTTTGTCATAGATTCGAATGACCGAGGTGAAGCAATCGGTTTAGTAGTGTGAGTGAAATCACTGTACGATACAAGCAATTAGTGAAGTCACTAATTGCGTTTACGTTGTTTTTTTTTGGTATACTAGTACAACCATATTTCAAAATCTGCTTCATCTCTCTCAGTACCTCATTGAAATCGTACATCCAGATGATACCAGTACGTTTTAGCGTTTTTATTATTTTTGAACTCAGCCCTTTTTAAGATACGCTATTTTTTTTCGGCTCGTACGCCATATCGTTCACATCACACGAGCGTTTCATACGAACGACTTATGATTTATTTCACACAAAATCATCTAATAAAGTTCATTGCAGTTTCGTATGAAATTTTTAAGCGTTTCATATGGAATTCATTAATGAGACGTGTAATTTTCATGAGCATGCTATGGAAACCATACGTGTCGTAAAAAATAATTTCCAGAGTTCAAAACGACCGTTCATACGAAACATATTATGAAAATCGTAGTTCTACTTTCCTCAGTGTACGTGACCGATGAGCTATATAGTCGCTATATTCATAGTCTGGCGGATAGAATTTTGATCTATCAAAAAGCGGAACCAATTCAATATATTTTAGACCATCAATTGAAAGGGTATTATCAACTTTTATAAACAAAACGTTGATCATTCTCTCCTCGTGAATCGAACGCATCATCGGATAGAGGAAACTTTCCTCAACCCAAAGATGGTGTTAGTTTGCGTAGGCGAGCCTTGAGTCACGAAAAAAGGGTTTCCAAAGTTTTGTTCGGAAAAGATAATGTGCTCTTTTCTGTTGTTGGTCGTGATTTGCTCAATTGGTTCCCGAGATTCTACCCGCCAGACTATGAATATAGCGACTATAATGAGCTACAGTGACCGCTACAGCAAGTCGAATCGCTCTGTGCGAATTAACGATGCCAGATCTACAGATTTCTATTCACGAAAAAAATGAACACACCCTTTAAGTTTTATCCATACAATATCAAACCAAACATTTGGTGAAGCCATGATTGATGAAAAAATATTAATTGTTTAACTAACTAATTAGATGTTTTCTAATACTCTACGAGCCCCATGACCTTTTTTAGTAGTCTTATTGCACCAAAGTATACCTTAAATATCGTTCTTGAAGATGCATGAGAAAGATTGGGAATTACGAATCTGTAAAACTGTACAGGGTGTCAAGTCAATGATGAAAAATAAATTTCCTGATTTTCCATTTGATCATGTAAGGGAAAATCTTAAGAAAAGTTTAACGGAAATTTCGTTGTAACGTCTATGGTAAAGCAAGTCGGTTTGTCGGTGTCACAACGTCGTAGAAAATTAGTAAATTTACAAGTTCGTAGAACATACACTGCTTTACCGATTTCCTAAAAATGAAACTTAAAGTTACGCTGAACATAACAACCAACTAAGCGCACTAAGTCAAGTTTGGGCTGAATCAACCCCATATCAATCCTATACGTTTGACAGTAGGCAACATCACGGGCCTTATTTAAATATGGCCCGCCTGACGTATCCATGGTGAAAGGGACGGAAATCGTGTTATAAACAGCAAGACAAGAGCAGATGATAGCATCAAAAACATGGCCGCCAGTCAGGCCTCTGGGCTGAATACTTTTCGTAGTTCTACAAATTCCCTTTGCAAACCAACCCCTTCTCCCTCAGAATAAGATTTTTAAAGAATATTGGTTCATTCTCGGGTGAATATTTGTGTTAACCCTCTCTTTCCCATGGTAGCGCTCACAGGTGAACCACAACTTTTCGGTCTGTCTCATGTTTGTCTATCTTCCATTAAATAGTCATTAGTTATTTAAGCTACTCAGTGTACTCATTATTCTCGTCCATATGTATTCTTGAGAATTCAACTGAGCAACTATTGAAAAATAATTAGCATGCTATGGACTTTAAACAAAGACTTTTTTTTACGGATTCAATAATTTTCGACTGTGTGGAACATCTTTTGTATGGGCACTTTTTTCACAAATACATTTTAGCATCTCAAATCTACCAAAAACCTTTTGGAAACCAGTACTGTGACGAGGTCGTATTTATCGGTCTCTGAAAACATGGATATCATTTCGATATTGGATTTTGAGTACCGATATCGGGTCCGATATCCAATATTCAATGGAAAATACATTAAACATATTTCATTCTTTCCAACTTCATACTGCATTTGAAAAATTAAAAAGATCGACATCGACACAAACAAAAATATTGTCTATCCACTCTTCGAGGCTACATCGCTCAAAATTCGCCGTGATACCGAAAAATAGCACATTTAATTAATTCAATATCACGCCTCGCGTACCTACATATCAATTTCCGTACGAAGCCGTCCCCTTCGATTATTATTACGTTGAACCATTCCCTCGTGATAGCTCCATACCAAATTAGCGGTAGAGATATTTCTCATTGGCTCGACACGAACAAGTTCTTCGTTACCAGATCCTTCAAATGGAGATCGAACCATGTCGATGATTATTAACATCGAGGAAAGAAATATCAAAGTTTTGTTTATATAATTTGATAGTACCTTTTCAATTGTTGGTCTATAATATATTTAATTGGTTCCGTTTTTTGGTAGATCGAAATTCTATCCGCCAGAATATAAATATAGCGACTATATCTGCCCCCCCCCCCCCCCCGTTGGCGATACTGATGTATTGCATATTGAACAAGAATCCTCGGCTCTGTAAAGTTAATTGGATTGAGCCTTATCAAATAAATTAATAAACAACAAAAAGGAACCATATCGAATTTCGATTATCGTTGATATCGGATTTTTAAATATCGGTTATCGTATCGATCATTTATACCCGATATTTAGCGATAATATCGAACTTATCGATATCGTCACAGCACTACTGGGAAGGAAAGGGTTAACGTTGTCTTATAATGATGATACACAACTAACAGTTTAATTGAAGATGCTTCTCATGTTGCATTGGAAACATAGAACATAGATAAACTTGGTGCTCTGGTGGTGAATAGGAGAACGTCAAAAACAGTGATGTGAGAAAGCGGAACACTTTTTAAATTTTCCTGATATAAATTGATTCATCTGAGATGCTGCAGAGCTTGATCTACAGTTGAAACATTTAATTCTGAATCATTTTTGCTAGAATCCTGCTAGTGTTCAGGAATATTTTTGTTGAGAAAAATTGATAATTATAATAGTGCCTTTAGTGGTTTTGATCTTCCGGATTTCTTGTGTGTGACTAGTTTAGGTGCAAATCAGTTCAGATCTGTGGAAAATCCTAAAATAAGACAATTACTGATGGAAAATGGCAAGATGCTTAAATTTTCGTTGTGAAAAATCCTTATTCTGATGTAAACGAACAGTTTGGTTGACATTTACTTCTCAAACTCGCCCGGAGCACTCTACATTGGTGGTGCATTAAAAAGGCCTACTGTCCGTAAAATGGTAAGCCCTTCATTTCAAACATCAACCAAATCCTACCACTCTATTCGCCTAACAGTTTGCTATCATAGCACCCCAAACTGGAGGAAATGTTGTGACGCACTGCGAATCATCAAATCAGTATTGTAAGTATGTAGGTTCGGTTTCTTTCTTTTGCTGTGTGAAAGTAATACGTACCTTGGCACAGGCCCACGGAAGAGAGGACTACGAACTACGACTACGAGCGCTTCAACGGATTGGTTAACAAGGAAACTGCCGACCGGTAGAGTGCCGAGCCAGGGCAGGATCAAACACGCTAGGTTTCGAGACTTCCGGACACGGATGGCAATTGTGCAGGGGAGATTGACGGATTGCCAACTGGAAACTGTGGAATTCTGGTTTGCTGAACGATTTTGCTTTTTTTTTTCAACGGATGTATGCACTTTTCGTATTCAATATAATAACAACGGTTTTATTAATTATTCGGTTGGCAGAGTTAGTGTGTGGAATTATTTACGCGAATATGCTAAACTTGCTGTATATTAAAAGTAGTTAGCAGTTATGCGTTGAAGTTAGAAAAGGCGGTAAAATGTTCCTTTTTAGCTAATTGAATTGAATCGACGAATCACTTGATCAAACTGAACACATTTAACAATGCACTTAACGAAGACTTCTAACGGTTTGGCATTTCCTCCGCTTGAGCTCCTGGGTTTGGTAGGCGGCTTCCAAGGGCGTTTGGTTGGCTTGCTGTATTTCTTTACGATGGTTTGAATTTTTCCTTCTTGATTGGCTCCATCTTTCCTTATACTTATAGCAATAGGTTGCAAAACTGTAGAAGCATTGAAGAGCCTTGCTAAGCCAGCTCGGGCGATTCCAAAATTAATCGTCATGTGTTTGAAAGCTAGCTATGAGTTGCATAAATCTCTCATTGGAAATGTGGCTACTGACAATTTATAATCACATTCTTTGCGAGTTCCTAATTAAGTCGATTCTATTGTATTGGTACGATGATTTCAGATTGACTTGGAATGCGCTGTTTCCGATAGCGTGGTGGTCTTTGAAAAGATTGTCAGTGCATTATTAATCCTTAACTCATTGGCGCCCCGTTAGTTACTTATGCTCCAGTTACATGGTGTGTCCTCTTCCTCCAGCGTTGTGCGAATATCTCCTGTTGTAGTTTCACTCATCCTGTCGCATTTCTTCATCCCCGGAATCCATTCATGTTGTCCTCAGTCCCATCTTCTCGAACATCGTGTGATCATCGATCCAGGTTCAGCGCAGCCGTGAATCTACCCTTCAGACTAAAGTTTAAGTCTGTTGATTACAAGTATTGCTAGGGCCATGTTGAGTCAAAATTTATTCGAAAATACTACTTTTGGGTCATCTTCAAGTCAAGCGTTACGGAAGAAAGATTCACGGTTTTATGTTCTAGTAGTCTGTCTAGGCGCTGCAGTTCAATTAACAACTGCTCCTATCTGATCCTGCGGTCCATGGTCCGGTGCATTGGCCATCGGTAATTGGTCTGTAGTGCCTCGTCTCTCCCCTGCAGCAGCTTGTGCGACGATCGATCGGCCACCGTTTGGGATTGGAACAACGAACCCATACGACGCCACCATCGGATGTGCGATTTCCCCGTCAAGACACTAATTTCTCACTCTCTCTCTCCCTTCTCTTCTTGCCTTTCTCTATCACCGCCTGTTTCTTTTCTTTCCGGTTTCGGCATTGCACATCACTTTTTTCTTTGTTTCTCTATCTTTTCTTACGAATTGGCACTCTGTGTCAAGTGTGTTTACACCACAATACTAACCTTCGAGGAACTTTCCAGCTTGCGACGTTTGACTTCTGTAATGGAGAGAAAGGGAATGAGGAATTAATCATGGGGAATCACGTAAACGTGCTAAGGGACACCTCCAGCACGGTTGTTTTGGTTCCAACATGGAGCAGAATGTTGAATCGATGAACAAGTTTTGTATGATTGGCAAAACGAAACATGCAAGCCAGTTTTTAGTCAGTCAGTCAGCCTGACAAGGCGATCTTTGAAGTCCGGAGTCAGGAGGCTTAAGGTTAAAGTGGTCAAAAATGGTTATCTCTGAGACATCACTTCAGATTGGCTAAAGTCCTCGTCGTTTTGAGCGAAATAATAAAAGGAAAACATCAACAAGAGCTTTTTGCAATCTGAAATGATGTCTCAGAAATAACCATTTTATTTTCATTCACTCAAAGGTCACTTTCACCTTAGAGAAACCTATATAAGATAGAGTTGGTTGGAAATTTTAACATGAAGCTTTAGTGCGATAATTTATTAGCTAGAAAATGATCTTTAGAAGAGGGTAGATGGATAGTTCCGTTAGAGTACGGCAGTGTGAAAATTGAATAGGAGTTGAAAATGAGCGAAGGGCCATAATGCGACAGTTTTTAAAGTTAGACGCACATCTTTTGCCTAACCCGTACGATGTACGCGGAGACTTGAGGTATGTCTTCAAGTCTACAGGCAAAAGATGTGCGTCCTCCTTTTGCTCATTACTGACTGCGGCTGTGGAATAGTTCTAGCAACGTTTCATCACTACCTAAAGCCCCACGTTGCGAGAGCATTTCCAGTCGATGGTGATGGATGCACAATCGAACTATTCCACAGCCACAGTCAGTAATGAGCAAAAAAAGGAAGCACATCTTTTGCCTGTAGACTACATACTTCAAGTCTCAGCGTACATCGTACGGGTTAGGCAAAAGATGTGCGTTTGACTTTATACTGTCACATTAATGGCCCTTCGTTCATTTTCAACTTCTATTCAATTTTCACTGCTGTATTCTAACAGAATTATGCACCTACCCTCTTCTAAAGATCATTCTCTAGCTAATAAATTATCACACTAAAGCTTCATGTTAGCATTTCCAACCAACTCTGAAAATCGCTAACTTCGCGTATGAAGTAACATAAAGACACTTTGAATCTATATAAGATATTTGAATGTAACCGCGGAATTGGGGCCTCCCTTAGCTCAGTCGGTAAATGTGCGGCTACAAAGCAAGACCATGCTAGAGGTAACTCGATTCCCGATCCGGTCTAGATTTCCCTGGGCATATCCCTAGCAACACACTTGTCACTGAACAGTTGTGGTTACTTGTGTGCAACTTATTCCAGTCACAATCAAGTTGCAGCAACTTATTTCGATGGAAGTGTGCTGCGTGGGATAGTATGAATGTGTACTTGTGTGTACTACAAAATTATATTAATGCAAAAATGGTACAAGCATCGAATGCTCTCAATTAATAACTGTGGAAGTGCATCTAGAACACTAAGTTAAGAGCACGCAATAAGCTCAATCTGATGACAGTTTAGTGATACTGTTTACGTGGACTTAGTCGATTTTTTCTTGGGTAGATTTTCTCGATAATTTTTCAGACTGCAGTGATATGTAAACCACACTTCTGCATTGTCCACGAGCAACATCCTTCCACTGCGCTGTTCCTCGACAATTTTCAAGTTAAAATTCGGAAATTTTAAAATATTTTTTTCTCTAAAAAACGACTAAGTGCTTGTAAACAGTACCACTGAACTGTCTAAAAGGTTCAGCCGATTAACACTGAGTTCATTCGTGACCTCACGCTGCAGTACCTAATATGTATTAAGCTTGAAATGCGAAGAAGAAGAAAACAGAGCGGACAGAGCAGAGCGCCTTGCGTGAAGGCTGACTAAAAGTAAATTGGTACGCCCCTCGAGCGCCGCTAGCCCGCCTCTAGTGTTGGGAATCGAACATCTTTGACAGTGGTTTGTTTCTGCGTTGCCAGATATACCGATTTTCAAACTGTATACCGATGCACAGATAAGGTTTCTCAGAATACCGACTTTTGAGTTTTAATACTGATGTATACCGATTTTTTAAAATATTCAAAATGATTACAGCTCGCCCGCGCTGAAACTATTAGGAGAGGCTTTTATCTTTTCAAACATTCAAATTTTTGAGCAATCTCAAAAAAAAAAAATTCCTCTTTGAAAATGTCCTATGTTTGAGACTCTTTTGACTAATGCTTCCATTTTCTCGCCTTTTTGGCTTCCAAGGGGTCGAGAAACAACTGATGGCGTATCCCGGTAATTCCTGGAAATCAGGAAATACTTTTATTCAGTGAACGAATAAATCCATCAAAATGTTAATTTTTCAATTTCCTGAAATTTCTCTAATCTTCCCTTGGAAGTTTCTTCCAACTTACCCTGTAAGTTATTTTACAATCTATTTCGACTTCCCTTGGAAGCTTCTTCTGGCTTCCCTTGAAAGCTTCTTTCGTCATCTCCCGTACCTTTATCACCTTTATTGTTTTCCTCTGCTGTCCGAAGAAGTCGTCTCCGCTCTACTCGATCCATGGCCACACATCGCCCGCCTCGTAGTCTGCGAAGGTTCCATTAGCTTCAGGAAAACTGCAGGAACTTTTCAGAGATAGTTCGGACTTTTGAGTAAGTTTAAAGATATGTAAGGGTAAGTTCCAATAAATTAAAGACAGTTTCATTAACTGCTGTTAACATTCGAGAACCCGGCAATTTCAGGAAAGTCCATAGAACTCCAGTGAACTTAAGGAAACATCTGAAATATTTTGGAAACTTCACAAGTCCAAAGAACTTCATAGAAATTTAATGATTTTCAGGACACTTCCATTTGTTTCAGGATAATTGAGATAACTTTAGGGAAGTCTGAGAACATCAGGACACATCAATTCATGAAAATTTCTGATCCTTCAAAGGAGTTCCGAGAGCTCAGAGAATTTTCAAAAACTTCAGCAATGTTCCGAGAGGTTCATGAAAACTTTGTAAACTTCAAAACAGCCCCATTAACTTTAGGAAAATTGCAAGAACTTTCAAGGAGTTGCAAGGAATTAAGGGATATTCCGAAGTGCAGTTCAGGAATATTCTGAAAATTTCAGGGAAATTGTGGGGCTTCAGGGATGTACTATAAATATCAGGAATATTGCTGGATCATTTGAGCATGTAAGGAGCTTCAGGGAATGTTGCTAACATCGCCAAGAAATCTATTTCTTGCAGATTTTTTTCCCCACTTCTCCTTGAAGTATCTTGCAACTTTTCCGTAAGCCCTCTGGCTTCCGACTGTTTTTCATAAGTTTCTTGCAATATACCTTAGGAAGTTTCTCCCAGCACCTCGAAAAAGTTTCTTCCATCTTCTACAGGAAGTACTCTGAGAAGTTTCTACTTACTGACTTACTCCGTAGGTTTTTTCCGACTTCTATTGGAAGGTTTTTCCGAGCATCTTATGACTTCCCTTGGAATTGCCTTCCCATTTCCAATACTTTTCTGGTTTTCTCTGGGTATGTTATCTGATTTTTTCCGAAAGTTTCTAAAGTTTTCGCCAGAAGTTTCTCAATATTTGTCTTGAAGGATCGTCATCGGATGTTTTTCCGACATTTTTTAGAATGTCCTGCAAACATCATTAAGAGACTAATTCAAATATTCCCGGAAATTTCTTCCGACTTACTACTTCGTTCTTAATCCAAAAGTTTGAATGTTAGCCTTTAAACAGGCAAAAAATATAAAAATAATTAAAACATTGAATACCGATAAATACCGATAGTTGTAAACATTTGATGTCGATAAGCTTGAAACAGTGGCATCGCCGTAACCTCAATCTACCTGTTCAACAACTCTCAAAACGTAAACAAACAAAACAATATTGGTTTCAATGGATACAAATCAGTGAAACTAGAAGACCCTATGCCTTTTGAAACTGATTTGAAGGTAAAAATGACCCTAAATAACGATTTCAAAGTTGTTGAACAGGTAAAAAGTGAGGTTACGCGACGCCACTGGCTTGAAAACAATCTGACAACGCTGGTTTGTTTACACTTCTACAGAGAACAACTGGTGCAATTTGATCAAAGTAGTCGATCGCGTTCAGAAATAACGTCAAATGGAAGTCGAAAGAAGAAAAAACATTGTGCACAAACACCTGTAAAATCCGGAGTGGTCCGGTTCCAAGCTGGCTAAAGTGCTGAAGATGCCGAAAACAGTGGCCAGAAGGTACAACGCCAACTTTCAAACGATGCAGAACATCCTTGCCAGGGAAAGATACAAGTCGTACAAAGCCAGTAAACATCCGAACTGGCACATGAAGCAGAATTCCGTGACCAAAAAATGTGCATGGTTAACGACCGTGTTTTGACGAAACACAAGGGCTGCACTTTGATCGATGACGAAACATACGTCAAACTCGATTGTAAGCAGCTTCCCGGTCAAAAGTTTTACATCGCGACTGGACGTGGGGATGTGCCGGGAAGATTCAAGTTCGTGTTGGCCGACAAGTTCGCGAAGAAGGTCATGATTTGGCAAGCGATATGGAGTTTTGGCCTGAACACGGAACCATTCGTCACACCCTCGACGATGACATCCCAAGTTTACATCGAAGAATGGCTGAAAAAGCGTGTATTTCCGTTCATCCGCAAGCATAGGGGCAAAGTCATCTTTTGGCCCGATTAGACCAGCTGCCACTATTCCAAGGTGGTTCTGCTGTGGTATGCTGTCACCCGGAACGCACCGTAGAAAGCACTGTGGAAGCCCCTAATCTATCTGACACAGTCCTGCCTTCTGCCGCCTCCGTTCATCACAGACGATCCGGACCTGCGGTCGGTTGTGGGGAGGGGGTCTTCCAACCCGTTCACTATGGCGAGTATCCTCTTGGTAATAGTAATGTTCGTTTGCTACCTGTCGTCCCCGTGATTTCCAGGGACATCGCTTCGCGTAGCACGCGATATCACCATGTACTACCAAAACATCGGTGGAATGAATTCTGACGTTCACGAGTACCTGTTAGCTGTATCCGACCGTTGCTACGATGTAATAG